GAAAGAGAGCGGTCGGAGGGCGCGAGGGTAGGGCAGGTCGGCAGCCAATGAGAGGCGCATCGGGGCGCGCCCGGGACTCGACCCCACCTTCGGTAGTCATGGCAACTGGCGAAACCCGCGAGAAACCCGCGAGAGAGTTGTCGCTGGTGGGGGGCAGGTCGGTGTCAGGGGTCGTCTTAGTCGGCAGTCGGTCTCTGGTCGGCCCCAAGAATAGTCGTATCGAGGCGGTAGTCGAGTATCACCTCTCTTCTCCTCCTCCTGCTTGTGCCGGCACGAGCGCACTCGTCGACCTACAGGCACACGCGCAGCTTATCGACTGGGCTGCGCGCGCGCGCGCGCGCGTGTTCCTCCTCTCTCTCTCTCTCTCTCTCTCTTTCTCTCTATCTCTTTCTCCGTCTTTCTCTCTTTCTCCATCTTTCTCTCTCTATTTCTCTCTCTCTCTCTCTCTGTGTTTTTCGGTTCCTCTCTACCTCGTGGTTGCCCTCTCTCGCGATCACCGGTCCCTCGCTCTTTCTCTTCCATCTCCACCTTCACCTCCACCTATCCACCTCCTATTCCTCCGCCACCTCCTCCTCCCACCCAGGAAAGCACGGTTCGCGATCTTCGTCGCGTTCCCGCTGCTCGATACCGCGATCCTTTGGCCTCTTCTCTCCGCTCCTTTCTTCTCTTCGCGTGCTATCCGCCACCTCCACCTCCTCCACCTGGTCCTCCTCCTACTGCTCGTCGACCACCTCTCCGAGTATCCCAGCGCCCACCCTGTGTGTGGTGTGCGTGGAGCACACACCCTCTCCGCCCTGTGACTCGGTGGCTCGTGCCACCGCGCATCCACCCAGCGTCGATATACCACGATACCGCGGATACAACGACGCGGGGATACGCGGCTGATCTACCGCGTGCGCGCGATCGCGATCTCGATCTCGATCCCCGATCCCGATCCCGATCTCGAGAACTCTCGACCCTCGAGCCGTCGAGACGTTCGACCCGTTCACCCGGAACGAGTGTGCCCGCTGGTGTCCGAAGCTGCGTTTCCTCGTTTCCCTTCCGCCGGCGGTATACCGTATTCGTGCGTGGCGCGCGAGAAGGAGAGATAGTGTCAAGTGTCGTTCAAGATTCACCGTGCGTCGGCCAGGTTGTCGCGAGTTTTCCATCATCCTCGGTGTATCATCATCGTCGTCGTCGTCGTCGTCGTCGTCGTCGCCTTGGTCCTCGTCGACCTAGTCGCGTGGTGGTCGTCGGTGTGGTCGTGGTCGTGCTGGTGATCGGGCGTGTGCGACGGTGACCGACGACGCGGAATCGAGTACTCTTCGCATCGTGCTCGTCCAACGGAAGGAGAAACGATTTTTCTCGGCGTGAAGCCCATCGCGAGGATGTCAACGAGCAATCCGTGGTGATCGCGCAAACTTTGTCTAGTGCGCGAGTGAGTGAAGAAGGCAGCGAGGTAACGCGAGCGAGCGAGCAGAGAGAAGAAAGTGCGCGAGTTGTTTCCTTTTTTTTCCTTTTCCGGCAAAACGCGTAGATTTATACGTATATATATATATATATACACACATATACACGCGCATAGGTGGTATCGAAGAAAAGGTGGTGCGCTTCGGGGATAATCGGTAGAGGAATAGAAAGCGGAGTTTGGAGGAAAGGAAAAGAAGAGGAAGAAGAAGAGGAAGAAGAAGAGGAGGAAGAAGAAGAAGAAGAAGAAGAGGGCTCGGAGGGAAGAAGGCAGCGCGCGAGGGGTGGTCGGCGGTGGTCGCGGTCGAGAAGAGGAAACCGGCAGGGTGGTTCGAGGCGGGACAGGAGGCGCTGACGCCCTGGCGACTGCCGGGGTGGTTTACCCGGCCGCGACAGCGACGTTGTTCCCTGGCCGGGTGTCAGCTGGACACCACCACCCCGAGTTCACCACCACGTTGGAGGTGGGGTTCCCGGCGCGCGGCACCACCGCCTCTATGGCGTTGGTAGCCGCTCTGCGGCCGCGGCCGCGTCTGCCGCGGGCCCGGGCCCCATACAAATCGCTCCGCCGCCCCCGATGCCCCCGACTCACCTCACGACCTCCACCACGCCGGAGGACATTACCTGCCTCGTACCCGCCGGAGCGGTTCTCACGCCCAGGGACCCCTTGCCGCCCAGCACCACCCCCGGAAGTCAGGCCAACAGCTCGCAATCCGGCAGCTCGCAAACCGACAAATCTCCCAACATCGAGTGCGTGGTCTGCGGGGACAAGAGCAGCGGCAAACACTACGGGCAGTTCACCTGCGAAGGTAAGTTTTCTGCGAAACGGAAAAGGCCTGCACCGTCGCCATCCTTCGTCGCGGTTACCCTATCCTTTCGCGTCGCGTTTCGCCGCTCGTGTATCCCGGCACACACAGAAATAGAGAGAGAGAGGGAGACTAGGAAAAAACAAAGACTCGCCATTAATAACTCGGTAGGGTGTTGCTCGGAACGCTTACGCGTCTGTTACGAGGCTAATAACGATGTAATAGGGCCGAGGAAACGCTGCAGGAGGAATCGTGGCTCGCAAAGGGAGCGAAAGAGAGGGAGAGGGAGGATGGAGAAGGAGGGCGAAGGGTAAAGAGCGAAAGGATAGATCGTCGGTCGGTATTTCGAAGATTCGTTCCGGGACCGATGCGAAACGGACGTTTCGCGCGTTATCCTTTCCTCGGACCTCGGACCCAAGGATCCGATCTCTCGCCGCGTCACCGAGGGTGTAACGAAGAAAAACGCGCGCGGTCCGATGATTCGATTGGAACGGACGGACGGACGGACGGACGGACGGACGAGGGTTAATCGAGATGTACGACGCTGTCCGGGAAATGGAAAGTTACGTATCCTCGTTGGTCTGGTCGCGAGGACCGTTGTCCCTGCCTGTTATCCCGAATCACGGGCGTCGCGTCGATATCGGATCGCGGGGGGTAGTAGCTGTTCGTGGTGGCCGCGTGTGATTTAACGCGTTGGAGCGCGTCGACGTTGCTCCTTTCCCCCGGGGGAAATAGGTCGCGAGACAAGTGCGCGCCGGCACACCTGGTCCCGTGGAAACGAGGGGGGCACGAACGTCCCCTTTCGAGCGTTGCCCGAAACTTTGACGCCTCGTTAGCTTCCTCGGCCCCCATACTCGATCGCTATCTCCGAGACGGCGAGAACTCGATGGAAAACGGTGGCGTAATTTTTCGAATCGCAAAGGTCGTATCGGCTACTCGTTCCTCGGTAGATTTACGAGCGTAACGTCCAGCCATGTCTCTTCGCCGCGATCTTTCGCCGCGCGTACGTAGCGTTCGCCCGTTGATGGGTGGCTTTCGTCCTCGGACTACCGAACTCTCGTTAAAATTCATGAGCGCTTCGTCCCTCTCTTCCACTTTGTCTCGCTCCCTCCTAAAAGCTATACAAGTTTGCGCTTTCGTATGCGCTGTACGTAGGATCGCGACCAAGGCGGCGTCGGCTACGCGTCGCGTCCGCTCGCGAGCAAAGTATACGTATCGCGAAGGTACCACGGGCGAACGATGAGTCGCGAGCATCGCGGGGAAAAATATCGTTTCGCGGCAGGATCGAGAGTGGTAGACGCGCGCGATGGCGAGGAGCGGATCGGAGTTAATTGGCCGGTTATCCGCGAACGCTGGACCCGGTGTCGGTGGCTTATTTGCCGCGAAAGGAGGACCGATGACGTTAGCGTTTAAAACGCCGCTAAAAATAATGCTCGGGGGATTAGCTGTCGCGCATCTGGTGGTCCTCCCCTGTCTCTTCCCCTCTGGCCGTGCGTGCTCGTTAATTTCCAACAATTTGTGCCGGCTCGGGCTGCGCGAAGATTCGACGCGTGGAAACGTTGGATTCGAGCGGGTTAAGAGTCCGTCTCTTAATTGAACGCTCGAGTTACAGCGGCCAGTCCTCTCCCTGGTGTTCCAATTACAGTCGCGCTAACGATATTTACCATTGTTAGGCCGTGGCGCTCTCTAGGTGCCGGCCGTTGTTAGCGGTGCCGCGATAACGCGCTTAATCCCGCGATAATTTCTATTCGCGGTAATCTTAATTGCTCGCAACCCTCTGATTTTCCCCTCGCGTCGATTTCGCCTCTTCGTTTCGAACTTTCCGCCGTTGTTGGGTCCGCGTGGCGGAAGAGAAGCGTAGAAAGCCGGGGTTCGGGTTGGGTTTCGCTGTTGGAACCAAGGCTGGACGAGCAGGAATCGCGGCCTTGCCGCGGGCCTCCGCGACTCGCAACGTATCCCCGGTAACCAGCCGACCGCCGTTTTAATTACCGCTTTCCGCTCAACGCGCCGCTTCCGATCGCGCCATCGACCCGGTTCGATTTTCCCCCATAGAATCGAACACTTTCGCCGAACGAACGCAATTTCTCGCAATTTCCCAACGACGGGTTTAACCTCCTTCACCCTTGATAAATCTCTCCACCGTCGACGGCGTGGACAGGTCGGTGATGGCGGTGGACGACGATGGCGCGAATGGCGAGCGCGGAAAGCAGCTTTCCTCGAGGAATCGAATTTAGATTCTCTCTCTCTCTCTCTCTCTCTCACCTCCCCTTTTCGTCGCTCCACTCTCTTCCCTTTCGCTCGATTTCGCTGTGAACGTGGACACGCGTCGCGAACCGATCGAACGGGGATTTAACGAGGACCGCGGCGATTGGTCGCCGACATCCACGACGCACGCACTCTTTATTGAGATTCATAGAAACATCGATGATGGACCGATACGCCACGGCGCATACGCCTTCCGCATTCGACGTTCATTGGCGTAATCGCGGTGATTGTCGGCGATCGCTTTATTACGACGAATTGATTTTGATGTCAACCGATGTCAAACGGTTGCGAATTATCGTCAATTTGTCGCGTCTGTCTTGGAAGGCAACCGATCCAGACGATCGCCAGCGCGTTATCGATAGATTTGATCGTCCTCGGTCGGCTCCCCGTTCGCTCCTCGGGCAGCTCTCTTTTCCAACGGAATCCCACGAAAACGCTTCGCCTTTATTCCCGCTCGTAAATCGATTCGTGGTCGTGGTCGTGGTCGCGGTCGTGGTCGCGGTGGTCGAGGACGAGGAATTGGCCGGCGATTTGGAGAGCGAACAAGGTTCGAACGGTTCGCGCGATTCCATCGCCTCGGAGGAATCCGTCCCGTGGATTTGCCCGAGATTAAGTTCCAGGAACGAACATTAATCTGCCGATTACAGCGGCTCGGGAACCTCCCATTCGCGGTACCGCGTCTGGAACAAGGTTCTTCGTCTTTGGTTATTGCGCAATAGTCGTTCGCGGTTCGACCTCTCGGCTCCCTTTTCGCTCCTTCTTCCGTCATCGCCGATCTTTCACCCCCTGTCGGTCCACCGTCCATTCCACTGACCAACGCGTATTCGTAACTCGGCTTTCCACCTCTCGATTCTTGCCCGAGCGTTCCAAAGTTCACCCCGACGGCGATCGTGAGACACGTTTCCGAGTTATTTCCGAGACTCGAGACTCGACTCGAGAAACGACCACCGTGGCGCGACTCTGCGTTTCTCGGCAAAGAAAGGGTAGAAATCGATCCGTCTCTGGTTTGGTCCGAAAAGACGCGAGTCGATTAGGCGAAGAATAAGCGAAACGGAAGGGAAATCGGGCGAGGGATCCGTGCGAGTTTCGTGGAAGAGAATGGTGCTCGGGGATAGGTAAATTAATTCGCTCGTACCGTGGCGCGAACGCGTTCGCTGGTAACATGCATATGCATGTTTTCCACGCGTCACGATGATAACGTTAATTTCTTGCTCCGAGTTCGAGCTCGTTTCGATCGAGTCATTTCCTTTACGTAACCGCGCAGCGATGGTCGCGAACCGCTCCGCTTCTCCATCGTTCTCCAGCCGCGAGCACCTATTTCTCTCGCCTTCTTTTCCCTCTCGCGAAACCGAAATCTCGCGAGAAATGGCGGAAAAACCGGATCGCCCGATCGTCGAACCGATTATTCCAGGTCGGAGGAATGGAAAGGCGAAATGACAGGGTGGCGCGCGGAGCGGCGTTAAAAATATCCGTTGTCTGGATTATAGCAATTGCTCGCGGCATGCGAGTAAACTAGCGTTTAACACCGGGCTGGTGTTTGTCGCGAACTAGAAACGAGTCGCGTCACGTTGTCAAGGATGAGGAGGGACGAGAGATGGACGAGGTGTAATAATAATGGAATCGGCGCGGATGCTGGAATCTTTGCTCGGTTGGTGGCGCGATCGCGGCTGCTGCCGAAGAGCTCGGGAGGACGGGGTAAAAATTCGGGTGGAAAGGCTGACGCGGAGGAAAGAAGAAAAGGAAATTTAATTCCGGTTTCGCGGTCTGAGGTGTACACCCGCAAGGGGCTTCCTGTTCGGGGTCTCTGGTTCTCCCTCCGAGTCTTACGGTTACTTACCGACTTACGGACTTATGCTTGCCATAGCCGAGCGCGTGCGGCAAGAAGCCAGACATTCTGCAGCCTGCTCCGCGGGCTAATCGCTCTAACGAGATCATATTATATTATTCCGACTTTGCTAATCCTTATTAATCTCATTTCCCTCGGAGGCGCGTGCGCTCGTCGGTCGCGGCGGTCGCGGCGGTCGCCGTCGAAGGATTCTTTCTCCGCTGGCGCGGAGAGGTTGCGACGCGTGGTCGGCGAGTAACGGCGATCGAAAGTTGCAAAGTCGGCGGCGTTACGCGAGTGTACGCACAGGTAACGCAACGCGGGTAGCAGCGAATAAGAGCGGATAGGAGCGGATAGGAGCGGAGCGAAGAGGGCGGCGGCGGCGCATGCATCGAGCATAGAATTACGAACCGCGACGCATCCCGAACGCATCCTCTGTGACCAATTATCTCGCTAACGAAGCCCGCGCTATCTACGCACCGCTCTACCCGCCGAACAACTCGCCGTCCGACGACTAATTAATTATAACAATGTCGTTAATTTTACGCGGCCGACTCGAAACGTTACTGACCGAACCGCGTCCTTCTCTTCTCCTTCCTACTCTCGTTTCCTTTGCCGCCTTTGTTCGCGCCTCGCGCATCCTCGCGATCGCACCCTCGAGCGCGGATCGCGAATCGGCCATTTTTGCGCGCCCGGTGAATCGAGTGGCGGTTAGTCGCGCAAACGATCGAGGATAGACGCTCGTTCGCGGGGATGCTTTCGAGGCGTCGTCGTAGAGAGGAACGTCGTTCCGAGCACCGGTACACCGGAATGGAATGGCAGCGAACGAGTCGGAGCAATGAAAATTCAATGACGCGAGCAATTTGAGCTCTCGAGGGCCGTGCGAGCTACGATCTGAAAGTATAAACAGTAGTTGTTTCAGCCTCTCTCTCTCTCTCTCTCTCTCTTTCTCTCTTTTTCCTTTTCTTTCTCTCAATCTCTATCTCCTCCCCTGCCCTGCTCGTTGGTCGCCCTTTCCGAGGGCCTGCTCGGTTTCACCCTTTTCTTCGAGTCCATTTCTCTCGCTCGCGCTACCACGGCGCGCATGCGCCGCGTCTCTCGGTGGTTCACTCGCCTACCGTAATCGCGTAATTTGCGTGTAACGATGCAATTTGTAGTTACCGCGACCCCGAGCTCTCTCCCTCTCTTTCTCTCTCTCTCGCAACGTCGGCCACCGCGACCACGACGGTCGGGTCGGAGTCGAAAAAGCGTCTGCCAGCGTGTCCAACTCGGTCAACGAGAATGGTTTTTCGATCTCTCCGAGTTGCTGCACCGTTGCCTGGAAAATCCTGTTTCTCCACATCGTCGAACGATATAGGTTCCGCGATAACGTTCCGCTCGCGTTACAAACGCGTCGATGGAATAATCTAATCGACGCTTTTTTGCCCCCGTCGACTATCTTCTCCGTTCCTCGATAAGAAAGCCGAGCTTCTCGGAGATGTCACGCGCGTTACGCGTTACTGGAAAGAGGAAAACAGGGACAAAGACGGAGCGGGTCGGAACCGGGGATTACCGGCGTCGGGCCGGAATTTCAACGAGATACCCCGGGATCGAGGAGGAAGCTTTTCGCGATCGGCGAATGCCTTGACCCAGTGAACCGAGCGCGAGCGCTGCTCCGTTCTTGCTCCTCGAAACATCGTCCAGACGACGTTGGTCGCCGCGGCCGCGAGCTTTTTAAGCGCTAGGTGAAATTGCGGAACCGGTTCTGCGAGTAGACGCGAACGCCTCTGTAATTAATTTTCTCGTTAATACGCGTCGGCAAGCTCGCGCCGCGTCGATCGAGATCCCCTGGCATCGGCGTTTCGTCGACGAGCTGGAGAACGTGGAAAAGTCGTGGAAAATGTGGAAGGGGAAAGGAGGCGCGAGAAATGGGATAAATAATTTCCGTTTGCGATGCGAATGGAAGATGGAAGGTAACGGATAGGCCTCGCGTGGAGTCTCGAACGATCGCCGATGAGAATCGCCGACAACGGCCAGGGTACTCTCTTTATCGAACGGTCGAACCGTTTTCATACAGAGAACGCTTTGTTGTCGCGATATGAATTGCCTCTTGATTGCTTCCAAGTACTCGCGCCGCGTTCGCTCGATCATCCGTTTGGATCCATCGCGCCGCGTCTACCCGAATTCTTGGATCGCTATCGCGCGCGTCGACTTTCCCTCGATCGGTGTGGAGAGGAAATTGGAAGAATTTACGGGACCGGCGTTCGCCTCGGACGTGGCATAAGGCGGATAAACGATCGGAGGGAAAAAGGCGATGGCGCGTGGAAGGGAAGCTGACGAGAGAGCGATGACACTGGCGAACGCGATTCGATTTAACGAGGAGCGCGTAGAGGTGGCGCGTGACGGATAGACAGGGCCGTGGTTGCACGCGCGTTAAACGGGTTAAAGGGGTGATTCGATCAACAGCTTCGACGTTGCTCCTGCGAGCGTACGCGCGCTCGCCATTCCCTGGAAAACGCGTCCCGCGAAACCATGAATGGCCAGCACCACCGGTCTTCTCGTCTCGTTCTTCTCTCGCTCTTTGTCTCTCTCTCTCTCTGTTTGTCTGTCTCGGGTGGGTCCGGCGGAGGCGAAGAGCTAGGAACCGCGAGAGGAAAGGAAAAGGGAGATTTTAATTTGTAACTTTGCCTCTTTTTAGGATGCAAAAGCTTCTTCAAGAGAAGCGTGAGGAGAAACCTAACTTACTCGTGTCGAGGGAATAGGAACTGTCCCATCGACCAACACCATAGGAATCAGTGCCAGTTTTGTCGATTGAAAAAGTGCCTGAAGATGGGCATGCGCCGGGAAGGTACGTACCGAATGATTTCGATCGCGACTCGCTCTTCGCGTTTCCAAGCGATCGAGGAGAATTCCGTCCAAGCGTCTCTCGCTCTCTCCCTCTCCCTCTCTCTCTCTTTCTCTCTCTTATGCGCGCGCGCGCGCGTTAAAATAGAGCAATGGCTGCGCGAATCGCGCGCACCGATGCGCATCACCGTCCCGTAAGATCAAAGTTCAACGAGGCGGAAACGTTTCTATTTATTTGCTACGGATTCTCGAGGCATCGTACGAGCGGGAGAGCGGGTGCTCCGGCGCTGGCCAGCGCGCGAGCATCCTTGGAACTCGTCGCTTTAACGCGGCACAAGTGCGCGTATTTATATCCGGACACGTTCTCGATTCGGTCGCGCTCGAGTTCCTCACCTTCTGCTTTCGGACAGAACGCGTCCGTGTATACCTTTCCTCCCGAGCGCTGCCTCGTCCACCGTTCTCCGCTTCTCTCCGTACGTACCCTCGACCTTCCGACTCGGCGCGGTCGCGCGAGGATCGGGCCCCGCTCGATCGCAGTCGCGATCACTGCCGCGATCACGAAAACCCCGGAAAGGTTCCCACGCCTTTCCCTTTCCGCGGATTCTTCCTTTTTCCTCTCTCTCTCTCTCTCTCTCTCTCTCTCTCTCTCTTTTTCTCTCTCTCTCCCCGAGTTGTTCGTTTATGCCGAGATAACATCTGACCTTGTTAGAGCACGCACGAGCTGCTGCTGCTGCTGGTCACCGACTCGGACAGACCAGGTGTACTACTACTACTACTACTACTGCTGCTGCTCGATTCTCTTCTCCGGCGTGTTTCCCTTGGCGTTGGTTTCAAGTCACAGCAGAACGGTGACCGCGCGTCGACCGCGGCGCGTTTAGCCGAGCGAAGCGTGCATTTTCCGAGAAGCGAGCGCCGAGGAGAGAAATTCGGAGGAAATTCGGTGGAACGATTATCCCACGCGTTAGCTCGCGGTTCTACGGCGTTGGCGCGATCCCGACTCCTCTCACCGGTAGATACCATCTGACCTTGTTCGAGACGTACGTGAGCGAGACGGTCGTCGACACGAACGGTCAGGGAGCAGCAGCAGCAGCAGCAGCGCGGTCCGAAGAAACTGGCCGATCCTAGGATACACGTCCGCGGGTTAAAGCGGACGGTGTGTCGATTAACACCGAGTGCCCGGTGGAAAAACGAGCGCGATATCTACCGGATTCGATCGAGACACACACGCGGCGGCACGTATACCCTAGATCGCGGGGAGAACCTTGAACCGCGATCGCTGACGCGGTTGTTCGCGCGAGTAGTCGGCCCGACGAGGCACTTGGTCGCGTTTTTCCCACGAGAAGGTGACCCGAGTTTTCTGCCCTGTCGCAGCGACGTCCGCTCATTATCCAGGATGATGCCTCGGCTTTCGACGATAATTCGAAACGTTCGCCAGCTCGCTGCCAGGGCACGCAACTCTCTACCCACACCGCGTGATTCCTCGCGAGCAAAGGGGTCAGGTTAGCTCGAGGTTCCACAGAGAGAGAGAGAGAGAGAGAGAGCGACAAAGGTGATCTAGGGGACGGTTAGGGGACGAAATATCGCGTGGAAAACGGCGACGAGGGAAAGGAGGAATGGGCGAGAAGAAAACGCGCGAAAAGAGGAAGAAGAAGAAGAAGAAGAAGAAGAAGTAAGGAGAAGCGTGGAAGGCAAAAAGGCGGCGCGCGGCAGAGGCTGTTTCGAGCGGCGAAGCGAGGCAACGAGCCGTGGCGCGGCGCGGTGCGACGCGGAGCGGAGAAGGCTCGTCGGCGCAAGGCTCGACGCGGCGAAACGGGGCGAGGTAGGGGGCTAGAAGAGGTTGCGGCCGAGGGGGGTGGAGGGCGGACGGGGTTCTGCCGGGGCAGGAGGGGGCGAGTCGGTGGTCCGAGGTCAGCGGGGTGCATGACCTTACCTCGGGGGCCCCTTCCTTCCGTGGGGCCCCCGAGGCAGACAGGATGCGCTCAAGATTACCCCGCAGATACTGTCCGCGATGATTACAGAAATCTAGGAAGCCGCTCAATTTAATTAACCCTTAATTGCGACTGCCCGAGGAGAAGGTACACGTTTAGTGCAACTGTCTGCCAGTCCTTTCCTCCTCCGCCCCCTCTTGCTAGTCGTCT